CAGGACCGGCGCGGCTGAACCGTGAGCGGGCTGGAAAGCTGTGGGGGTGGGGGACTCCGGCATCAAGCAACATGCGGCGTCTGGCCACGGGCAGGAGCTGCGCGGGGGGACGCTGCCGCCCGGCCGTGATGCCTGCCTTGCCTGGAATCCAAACACGGCATCCCCCACGCGGGGCCCCAGCCCCATGATGGCTGAGGTGCGGAAGACGCCTCGGGTGGCGGGCAGGGTGCTGCGCAGGGGAGGGAACAGCTTCAAAGGCGGGGTGGGAGGAGGGCCCTCGCAGCAGGAGACCAGCAGGCACCCGGCCCAGCGGCGACCGGCGCAGAGCTCTGGCTGAGCACAGCCAGGCAGGAGGCTCTTCCAAGGGCGCGGCAAGGCGATGGGACGGCAAGCGCTGCAGGTGGCTGCTGGTCTCCTGCTGCCCCCCGCCCACCTGAGCATCTTGTGCAGTGCCCAGGCCGCCATGCGCTGTGTCACAAACACGATGCCGCACCAGCCGGGGCCGGGGGCCAGCGCGGCGGCGGCGCCGCGGTACCGCATCAGCTGCCCCGCCAGTGCCGCCATCTTGGGAGAGACGAGGTGGAAGTGAGGCATGCTGCTGTCGGCCAGGGCAGTGGCTGCCAGCAGCTGCTCCTCCAGGCAGCCACCCTCCTCACAAGCCCCCGCCAAGATGATTGCGTCATTCCCGCCAGCGGCAGCGGCAGAGGCCTTGACGGCAGCAGCAGCGGCTGCTGCTGCTGCTGCAGCGGCTGCTGCGGCGGCCACCGCCTGCTGAGCCGGCAGCTGGCGCTCCACGTCTCGCTGCAGGTGCTGGGCGCTGACGCCGCGCAGCATGGCCCGCATGGCAAGCAGCGGCTGCGCCCCCAGCAGCTGCCCCGCGGCCACCCTGGCCCGCACATCAGCCAGCAGCTCAGGCAGATCCTGCTGCGCCTGCTCCCCTGGCGCCTGCTCGCCCTGCTCGCCCTGCTGCTGCTCCTGGTGCTGGCCGCCAGCCTCGTGCTGACCATCACCTGGCTGCCATGAGCCCGTGGCTGGCGCAGCCCTTGACTCGTGGCCGGCTGGCTTACCAGGCGCAGTGGCGGGGGGCAGGAAGGGGTGCTGGCCAAACAGGCCGGCAAACGCCTCCAGCACATCCATCACAGAGTGGTGGGCCGCCGCCTGCTCGCTCTCCACCTCTGCATGTCAGCCAGGGCCGCCCGGCAGAGCTGGCAGGGCCGCGACGAGGAGCCTTGTAGTGTTGCTGGGAGCATGGCAGGACAGCCCACTGGTACAAGCTGGGAGCTGCCACATCAGGCAACCTGCCCATGCCAGTGAGCCGCCTCTCACCAGCCAGGTCGAAACTGTTGGCCAGCACATGGTCCACCAGGGCCGCCTCGCGCAGCGCCGCCACCTCCTCTACACAGCGGTGGGCATGGCGGGGACAGGAGGGCATGGGGGAGGCAGGGAGCCAGAGGGATGTGTGTGTGGTCCGCGGCTGGCAGCCAGCCACACACCAGCCGGCTAGGCAGCCACACCTGACAGCTGCATGGCGGCGTTGGCAGGCGTGGACGGCCCCGCCCGCTGCCCCTCCCCCTCCTCCCCCGCTGCCGCCGGCCCCTCATCCTCTGCTGCTGCCTCGGCTGCCCCCTGACCGCCGCCGCGTCGCTTGCGCAGCTGAGCGTAGCAGTAGGCGGTGCCACTGGTGCTGGCGGGGGGCTGCACCAGGGACGCAAAGACCTCGGCGGCGCACAGGGCAGCGCAGTACGGCCCCAGCGTCTGCAGCAAAGGGGCGGGGGGCAGGCAGCCTTGCTCAGCCTAGCTCAGCCTTAGCCTTGGCCCTTAGCCGCTGATGGCTGCATCCACCCGTGCTGCGCCCCTCGCAGTGCGTCGCCAAACAACAAACGGGTGCGCCCCCACCCCCAGCCCACCTGCAGCACGTGCTCCACGCTGCTCAGCATCTGGTCCAGCCTGGCGGCTGCAGGGCGGGCAGCGAGGGCGGCATTCCAGCGGCAGGATGGAGGCAGAACACCCTGCGCGCTTCCCAACAGCTCCCCCAGGCGCACCCCATCACGCCATGGCAACGTGCTTGGCCTGCGCACGTGCCCTTCCCCCATCCAGCCACGTGCCTTTCCGCAGCCAAGCATTGTTCAACCACCCTCCACCCGGCTCACACCCGCCCCTCCATCTCACCCGTGAACCCAGGCACCAGCGGGTCGAAGAAGATGCAGTGGGCTGAGGGCTCCAGGCCCTCGCACCCCAGCTGGCGCTGCAGCGAGCGCAGCCACTGCAGCCTGTGGGGGTGGTGGGGGCCCACGGCGTGCTCAGCATGCCCGGTCGGCGCCAGCAGAGGCAGCCCCTGCAGCCCTGCCCCTCTGACGCAGGCTCCGGGCGTGCACACCTGCAGCCCAGGGCCCCGCCTGCTCCCCAACCCCTAGCCCACTCACTCAAAGTTCTCTCCCGCGCACTGCAGGCGGCGGCGCGCCCGCAGCAGCAGGCGCTGCGTCACCGCCACTGGCGTCCCCTCCCACCAGCTGGGGCGGTAGGCGGCCACGCGCAGGGTGGGGGGCCGCGCCACCTGCACACAGGGGCAGCCGCAGGGCGTGGTGTGCGTGGGGTGCCCGCTGGTCTTCAACCCGCTCATCACCCCCCCTCCCCCACGGCTGGGGCCGGGCATTCGGCCCTCCTCCCTGCTGCCTCCGCCGGCGCCCTCCCTGCCACCCTCAGTCACACACACACACACACACACACACACACACACACGCGCACACACACACACACGCACACACACACACACACACACACCTCCTCCACCGAAGCGCGGTTGACCACGGTGACCACCCGCGCATCCAGGTTGGCCTCCAGAACCCGAATCTTGGCCTCCATGTCCTCCTGCGGCAGCGGGGAGGCGGGCGGGCACCATGTGCGCGCACCAGTGCAGACAAACATGCTGCCGGCTGGCTGGCACGTGCGGTGCCCCGGCCTGTGCAGGGCATGCTGCGATCCCACGGCGCATGTAGCCGGGGCAGGGCAGTGCACAGCAGGCTAGGCAGGCTGGGCTCCAGGTACCAGCTGCTGCCAGCAGCAGCATTGCGGCTCGGCCCAGCCCACGACCCCACCTGCGTCTCGCGGCGGCCGACGTTGGCCGGCGCCGCCGTCATGCCAAAGACGTGGGGCCGCGGCGCCAGCAGTGCCTCCTGTGCAGGCGGCGGGGGCAGGCACCGAGGCAGGGATCAAGGCAGGGCCAGCGCGGGGCAGGGCAGGGGAGGGGTGGCGACTGGGGGCAGAGGATGGTCTGGTGGGCTCTGAAGCCCGCATGCGTCTGACTGCATCACAGGGATGTGGTGCCCAGCCGGCTGCACCGCCTCACGTGGCTGTGGTAGAACTGCTGCATGATTCTGTTGAAAGGGTGCTTGGACTTGCAGTGGTGGCACTCATCAAACACCAGCAGGTGCACCTGGCTCATCTGCGGGCGCGTCGCCGGCGGCAGCGGCAGGCGGGGTGAGGGGCCGAGGCGCGGCGCGGCCAGCTGCACCTCTGATGAAACAGGTGGGGCGTGCGACTCTTGAGTCAACGCAGCTGCCAAAGCACGCTGTGCGCTCTGCTTGGCCAGGCGCAGCAGCTGGCCGGAGGGGTGCTGCCGCGGCCTCAGGCTCGCCTTGATGATGCCGTGGCTCAGCAGGTTGAGCAGGATCTGGGGGGTCATGGCCAGCACATCGTGGTCCGCAAAGGCGGCGTGCCACCTGCGCGGCCAGGCAGCAGGGCAAACGGCGGCAAGGAGAGGGCAATCAAGGTGGAGCATGGCGTGAGCCAGGCTGGCCGTGGTTTTGATCAAATGAATGCCTGGCAGCGAGGCAGCGGCGCGCAGCGGGCAGGGCCTCCCCGCCATGCGTCCCAGGCTTGGGCCGGCAGCAGCGCTGCCGCCATGCCGGCACACCCCGGGGCCCCACCTCTCCTTCTCAAACAGATCCACCCCCATCTCGCCCACAAAGTGCGCCACTTGGTCCGCGCCCAGGTGGGCCCGCAGCACCTCCGCCTGCTGCACCACCAGCGCGACCTTGGGTGCCAGGAAAATTGCCACGCGGTGCTCCCTGTGGGGAGGGCTACCTGTGCCGCCGCTGTCGCCGCCGTGCACGCTGCCGTGCACGCCGCTGGCCTCGTCCACGCGGCTGCCGTTGCGTGTCGCGCCAGCCGCGGCAGGGGTGGCAGGAGCGGCGGCGGGGGCTTCGCCGGCGGCGCTGGGGCCGGCGTCGGCGGCGGGCGCAGGAGCGGGCGTGGCGGCGCGTGGGTGGTGCCGCGCGGCCGCCGCCTGTGCCGCCAGCCGCCGCTGCTCCGCCATGCGGTGGCGGATGAGCAGCACCGAAACAAACGTCTTGCCAGCGCCGGTGTCCAGGAAAGCAATGACCTGCGGGGTTCGGGCGGGGAGCAGCAGCAGGCGGCGGGCGGCATGGTGAGCGGAACCGGGCATGGCCAAACTGCGCTCGGCAGCGGCCACATGCTGCGTTCTCAACAAGCGCCAGGCTGAGCCCCGCCACACCCACGTTCCGCTTCTTGGCCAGCTCCAGAAGCTCCAGCTGGTAGATACGGGCCTGGGTGGCGGCAGGCTTGCTGGCAGGCTCTGGAGCGCCAGCCGCAGCGGCCGCCCCCGTCTGCGGCGGCGGCGGCAGCGGAGCGTCCGCCGGCTCTGGTGGCGCCTCGGCGGCGCCTGGCTGCGACATGCCGCCTATTGGGTGCCCTGCTCGCACGTGTGAGCTGCGCGAGAGAGCTCTCTGCAGGCGTTCGTGAGCAAGCCAAGTGCCTGGGCGTGTCAGGCTGCCTGAGCGCCCGTGCATGCCCCCTGCTGCTCAGGCAGGAGTCCCACCTGCTCGAGCAGCTCCGTCCTAGGTTGGATCAGTGCAGGCCTGCCAGGTTTGGGCAGGCTGGGGTGCACACCCTCGAGCAGCAACCGCTGCAGCAGCCCTGGGGTGAGCCCGTGAGAGCCAACAAGGCAAGCCAGTTGGTGCCCTCGAAGGAGCTCCTCGAGGCTGAATGCAAAGCCTCCAGACATGCCATGTACCGCTCTCGTGTACCGCACCGTCGCCATCATGATGTAACCTTGGACCTAAAGATTGAAGCCTTCCTTTCATCTCAAATTAGGTATTAATTACATAGCAAAGTCCAATCAAGCTAAGCCGCTGATTGCGGTGGATCCTACTCAAACAAACTGGGCCCGGCAGAAGGCAGCCCGCAGCCGCCAGGCGGACGCGACTGGGGCAGCTAGCTAAAGCTTTAGTAGTGTCGAGGCAAGAAAGGGCTTGGGAGGGTGAAATGCGGCAACGCGGCATCAGCAGAACTGGCGTGGCGGCGAGGGCGCGGCAGCAGCAGAGGGAGGGGCAAAATGGTGCCCAAAACTCAGCAGGTTTTTTGTTTGTTTGTTTTTGTTTTGGGTTCAAAAGGGAGAGGTGCTGCCTTGAATGTTGGCACAGAAGGGATGAAAGAAGAAGTCGAGCATGCCACATGAAGCATGCCAATGGGTCACCGGGACAGTGTGCAGGGTGCTCTACCAGCCAGGGCGGGGTTGGGTAAAATGAGAAGGCGTGTTGGGTTTGAGCAGGGAAAGCTTCTGACTGCCATGCATAAAAGCTAGCATGGCATGTTGCTGCCGCTGCCTATCGGTGGTGGGGAAGGAGCGAGGTGCTAAGGCTTGGGAGCGGCGAGTGGTACTGCAAGAAGAGTGCTGCAGTGACGGCTGTCTGTCTTTCTGTTGTCTTGCTGGCTGGCTGGTAACTGCTGGTAAGCGCATGCATCTGCATGCTGTGGCTATGCTGCCGCGCTTCAATGTGGAGGCCCCACTGTGTCGGGGCTCGGCCTACTGCAAATCTGTGGAGGAGCTGTGGCCTGCCTGGCTGCCTGGCTTACTGGATGCGCCGCCACTTGGTCGGCGGCTAGTGTGGGGGGGGCTTGGCTGGAGGCGGATGCTGGGTGATCACTTGGGCGTCGAGGGCGGGCGGGCCTGGGTCTGGGCCTACCACATGGGCTTGACGCAGGGACCCCAGCCGTGGCAGCGCCAGCCGGGCAGGCACTTGATGCGGACGCCGTTGAGGCAGACGTGGCGGGAGTCGACGCAGCGCCAGTGGTGGTGGCGGGGGCACTTCTTGGGGCGCTTGGTCAGGTAGCAGGGCGAGCCGGAGCCGCGGTGGGCGCCGCAGTAGGTGCCGGGAGCGCACCTGCAGGGAGGTGGTGGGTGGGGGCATGGGTCAGTACAGCTTGACGGCAGGTAAGCAGGCCGGCGGGCCGCCAGCAGGCAGGCAGGGCAGGGCAGGCCCCACTTAGAGTGATGTGCATGCAGGTCGCCGCCACCCGCTGCTGCCGCAGCAAACAGAGCCGTGCAGTGCAAGGCGCTGCCCAGCCCTGGGGGGGAGCTGACTTGCCTCATGGAGGTGCCTCCCAGGCAGAAGTGGGTGGAGTCGACGCAGTCGTAGTTGCGGAGGTCGCCTGCAGGCAGGGGAGGCATGGGGTCGCGCGTAAGAGCGGGGCGCAAGCTGGAGGGCGCCAGGCAGGCAGGCCGGGGTCAAATGGGCATAGGGTCCACGGGAGGTGACACGACGGGCCAGGGATCGCAGGCAGGGACAAGCACAGGTGCCTCAAGAGGCCTCCAGCAGCGAGAAGGGCAGGCTGTAGGGCGGACGGCGCCCGGCGGTCGAGGCGCTCGAGCGCTGCCAGCTCCCGCTCCCCCCGCAGCTCACCCTTGCACTTGGGCTCCTTGGGCTTGCAGCGGCCCCCACCGCAGAAGCAATCACTTGGGCACTGCCAGAGGTGGCGATCGATGCAGATGTGGCTGCAGTGAGGGGCGATCAGGCACAGAAACGCAGGTCAGCGCTGGTACGCGGCGGCGGCGGCGGCGGCGACACTCGTCGCCCACACCAAATCCTCCCACCATCTCGCCGGCGGCCCAGCACCCGCCGGATTCGGATCCCTCATGCAATGAAACCGCCGGAAATCGGTGGCGGAGCGGGCGAGGGTGGTGCAGAGAGGCGGCAGAGGGTTGGGGGGTGGGCGTCATTGATCAGGGGGTCCCCCCAAGCGTAAACGCACCTTCCCATGCACCAATAGCCAGGCTTGTCGCATTTCTTTGTGGCCTCGGCATAGCCGGCGGCCACGGCCAGCAGCAAGAGGCCGAGGAGGAGGGAGCGCGACATGGGGTTGGGTGGGGGTGGTTCAGTCTCGGGGTGGCGTGCCCGGTTGCGTGTGTGCTAGGCGAGATCAGGAATGGCTCAATTGGGAGTGTTTGGATCGATCGGACGAGTGAGAGACTTGTATGGCACGCGGGGGGGGGGCTACGCGGCAAGCTGACGGGTCACCTCTGCGCTGGTAGGAAGCCAGAGGGGCTGAAGTAACCCAAACATTGCGCACGACACCAAGATCACACGACAGAATCCAGTGGTGGCCGGGCAGCAGCGGTGGCGGCAACGCCACAGCGCCGGCAGCCACATGGCACCTTCATTGCAGCAGCCCCCTTCCTCCCACGCACGTCCACCTTCATTGCAGCTGTAGCGTCGCGAAGCGGCCACCGTCTCAGACGTGATTTTGGCGCAAAGGGCGCCTCAACACATGCAGTCAGTGGGAGCGCGCCGGCGGGCCCTTGCGGCGGCAGTTGGGGGTGGTTGACAACCGACAGCCCACAGGACCCTGCTACTGCCATTCCTCACAGGGCCTGAGATACGTTACAGGGCAGCTGCCATGGAGCGCCAGAGGCGGCCTAGCAACATGTGGAGCTGACGAGTGAGCCAAGACATAAACCACGCGGGCATGCGAGGCAGGTGATACATTCCGAGAGATGGCGGAGGGGTGGAGGATACAGAGGTACACAGAGATGCAGGCGGAGTGCGGCAGAGTGAGGCATGAATAAAAGAACTGCAGGGCGATCAATGAAAGGGCTGCTCTCAGGCGGCAGGCTGGCCACGTGGCCCGCCCATCACGCAGCAGCCGGTGCGTCTGCCGCCGCTGCGCTGGCCACGCTGCTCGCAGCGGCGGACGCCGCCGCGGCTGCAGGCGCGGCCGCATCGCCCGCGCTGTCCGCGGCGGCGGCGGCGCCCGCCACGCCAACCCCACGCCACCCTCCGGAGCCGCCGCCGCCGCCGCCGCCGCCGCCGCCGCCGCCGCCGCCAGGCAGCTCTGCGCCATCGCGCCCCATCAGCAGGCTCTTGATCTCTGCCAGAGTCAGGGTCTCATCCTGGAGCAGCGCCTGGGCCAGCCTGTGCAGCTCGCCCTCTTTCTCCCTCAGCAGGCTGCACCCCGGGGGAGGACAACAGACACATGCACACACGCAAGCACCTGTCAGGGCAAGGGGGGGGAAGCTTGAGCGGCAGTCGCCGCCTGCTGCGGGACTGCACACCCCTCCCCACAGACCCACGCATCCCTGCCCTGCCACACACCCGACACGACCCGCCCCACGAATGCCGCACGCTGCACAGCCAGCCGTAGCCCCGGCACGTGGGCGCCCACCTGACCACCCGCTGGTAAGCCGCCTTCAGCATCGCCTGCACCTCGTCATCCACCGCCTGCCGCGTGCTGGGGCTCTGCTCCTCGCCCACCGCCACTGCAGCGCACGCGTGGCGGGCGTGGGGGCAGCGGGTCAGGCACAGAGGGCAGGCCAACGCAGGGCAGGGGCCGGATGGGCCCAGCACCAGGCCAGCCAGCGCAGGAGCGCCCGCCAGCCAGTCCAACCCTCGCCTCCACAACGGCCCACCACCGCGCCTGGCCGCACCACCCCTCTGGCCCTGCCCTCCCCTGCGCCGCCCCAGCACACCCCAACGCCCCCAGCGGGGGCTCACCAGGGCCGATGCGGTCGCTCATGCCGCAGTCCACCACCATGTGGCGCGCCATGCGGGTGGCCTGCCGCAGGTCGGAGGTGGCCCCCGAGGTCACCTGGTCCTCCCCAAAGATCAGCTCCTCCGCCGCCTTGCCCCCCATGCACACGTCGATGTGAGCCATCATCTGCTGCCGCGTCGTGCTGTACTCGTCCTTGTCAGGCACCTGCGACACCATGCCCAGGGCGTGGCCCCGCGGAACGATGGTGGCCTGCGGCAACGGGGGAGAGTGCAGCGGTTTGTGTGTGTGTGTGTGTGTGTGACGCCGCGCCGGACTCGTGTGGGGCAAAACGTGGTGATCAGGGCTGCAGCAGTACAACCGCGACCCTGGAGCAGGAGGCGGCGGTGCCGGCGAGCAGGCGGCGGGCCACACGGTCAGCCTGCGTGCATACCTTGTGGATGGGCTTGGCGCCGGCCGTGTAGAGCGCCACCAGCGCGTGCCCGCCCTCATGGTACGCCGTCAGCCTGCGGGCCTCCTCGCTCTGCGCGGCGCAGCGGGCGCGCCGGGGAGGGTTTAGGCGGTCGGGGCAGGCCGGGCAGGGCACCGCCTGCCAGCCGTGCAGCCACGGCTGGAGGCCTGGCTGCAGCGTGGCTGCGGCCGCGGGCCCAGCCGCAAACGCGCAGCCAGCCCTGGCGCCCCCAGGGCTGCGCACCCACCTGTGCGATGATGCGGGGCGTGCCCATCAGAATCTTGTCCCTCGCCTCATCCAGCAGCTGCACCACACGCAGCACTCCACGGGAGGCGCCGTGAGGCGCAGGCGCAGGCCACGCAACTAGTGCAGATGAGATGCAGCAGCAGACAAGGCTGCCCACGCATGCCCACGCATGCCCACGCATGCCCGTCCACCCACCCCGTGTCGATTGCAGCGGCCCCCGGTCACCCCCGCAGCGCCACACCCCAGCCAACCCTCACCACAGCACGCCGCCTGCCTCCCCACACACCTGTGCGGACACCGCGTCGCGGTCGTGGCGCGCCGCCAGCAGCGCCGACTCGTTCACCAGGTTGGCCAGCTCGGCGCCGCTGAAGCCGGGGGTGCGACGCGCCAGCAGCTCTGCGGCACGCGCGGGGCGGCCGGGCAGGCGGGGAAGGGCGGGCGGTGGTGGGCCGGGAGCGGGCACGCAGCACCGGGCTGGCCTCACGCGGGGCACCGCCGTACGGCGCGCCTGCCTTTTGCTGCACCCCGCAGCCTCCTGGCCCCGCCCCCTCAGCGGCTGCACCCCTCCCCCGGCCCCGCCCCGCCCCGCCACGGCCTGAACAACCCCACCCCACCCCCCGCCCACCCGCCCACCCCGCCGCCACCCACCCGTGTCCACATCCGCCGCCACCGGCTTGCCCGCCAGGTAGAGCTCCAGGATCTGCTGCCTGCCGCGCACATCGGGCAGCGTGACGGCCACCTGGCGGTCGAAGCGGCCGGGGCGGGTGAGCGCGCTGTCCAGCAGCTCGGGCAGGTTGGTGGCGGCCATGACCACCACCCCGCTGTTCTCCTCAAACCCGTCCATGTCGGTCAGTAGCTGGTTGAGCGTCTTGCGGCTGCCGCCGCTCGACTCCCAGTTGGTCCGCTTGCCGCCTGCGGCAGGCGGGGTGGAGGGTGTGGCGATGAGGTGGCGGTGGTGGTGCAGGTGGGACGCGGGGTGCGTCTTGCGTGGGAGGCAGGCGGCGGGCGGGAGGTCGGCGGGAGGTCGGGAGGCCAGCGGGCACCCGGCGCCGGCAGGCCCCACCTGGCCCAGGGCACGGCCTGGGGTTGCACGCGCCCCCCCCCCCCCCAAAAAGGGCTCGGTGCG